TATATATATATTAGGTCAAGTAGAAAGTTTCGTTCGTTTTTTTTGCAAAAAGTATGGTTTTATTTAAAAACAAAATGAAAAAATACCTCAAAATATTGTCTATCATTAGCAATAACTTTTTCCCATTTTTCGGACTGTCAGCGAATTCCGCGGCAAAAGAATGACTTATCTTTGGAGGCTATCCACTCAGAGATCCATGATATATACATAAAAAAATATGTATATTATATATTATTTGGAAGTTTAGATAAATGAAATAAGAGGATTTTTATACTTAAGATTTAAAGATGTTATGATCTTAGACGTCCTATACTGAAATTTGCTTTAGGGCCTCAATTAGAGGGTTGTTAAATTTCTACAACATAAATCCGATAATTTTTTAAGTTTGGTGCACTTATTACAAAGAACGAATAACCAAAAAATAAAAGAAAAATTTCACTAATTTTAATAATTTTATCTTTTATTTTTATATTCATTTTGATATCATGGATATATTAATAAAACGTCTTATATTTTATACTTTCTTTTGTAGTAATATATTGTGTAATTATTAGAATGAAAAATTACATTTTCTGATCTTAGTTTTTAAAAATATTTCTGGAAAACGTATATTTTAGTTCGTAGACACTTTAAAGATTACTTGTATCTATTTAAATTTTGCTTTTCTAAATTTTTCTCTACGTTGGAGCGTACATTTTACTGCTTCGCAACATAGATTTGAGCAGACGTAACATGCCAATCTTCATCTATAGGCATTGTCATCCCTGTTATAAAACTAGCATCGTCACTTGCTAGAAATGCAATAGTTTTTACGATTTCTAAAGTGTCACCGTTTCTTCCTAAAGCATATCCTCCTTTCAACTGCTCGAAAATAGTTTTAACCTGTTCTTCTGTTAGTCCAGTATTCCGAAGGATATTTGTTGGTATAGCGCCAGGATTTACGGAATTTACATGAGGATTTTTATACCTAAGATTTAAAGGTGTTATGGTCTTAGACGTCCTACACTAGAATTTGCTTTCATTTGCCTTAATTAGAGGATTACTAAGCTTCTGAAACACAAATCCGTTAATTTTTTAAATTTGACGAGCCCTACAACGAATGAACAACCAAAAAATAAAAGAAAAAATTCACTAATTTTAATAATTTTATCTTTTATTTTTGTATTTATCTTGATATCATGGGTATATTAATAAAACATATTTCATATTTTCTTTTGTAATAATTATATATTGTATAATGATTAGAATGTAAAATTACATTTTCTGATCTTAGCTTTTGAAAATATTTTCAGAAAACGTATGTTTGATGTTCACACTTTAAAAATTACTTGTATCTATTTCAATTTTGCGCTTTTTCAAATTTTTCTCTATGTTGGAGTTTACATTTTATTGCCTCGCAATATCTAGATTTGAGCAGGCATAACATGCCAACCTCCATCTACAGGCATTGTCACTCCTGTTATAAAACTAGCATCGTCACTTGCTAGAAATGCAATAGTTTTTGCGATTTCTAAAGTGTCACCGTTTCTTCCTAAAGCATGCCCTCCTTTTAACTGCTCGAAAATAGTTTTAACCTGTTCTTCTGTCAGTCCAGTGTTCCGAAGAATATTTGTTGGTATAGCGCCAGGATTTACGGAATTCACACGCACCTATATCGTATTTAAAAAAAAATAATATGACGTTCAAAATAATATTTATAATGTTATTGTTGAAAAAAGAAAACAGCCATTATCCTTATACGCACCTGTCGTGATGCCAATTCTAAAGCAACGCAACGCGTAAATTGATCCAGAGCCGCCTTACTCATGCAATATGGCAGATTATTCTTCAGTGGTCGTAATCCAGCCACGCTTGAAACATTTACAATGTTGCCTTTGGTTTTGATTAAATGTGGCACTGCTAGTGTAGTCAATTGAAATACTGATCGAACATTTACATTGAAAATACTGTAAACACATTTACATATAAAACATATTTTTGTTATATCAGTATATTTTTAAAATAAAACAGAATTTATCAATATTCATACATGTTTATACATCAGTATATCATTACATACTTGTCGTACTGTTCTAAGCTTGGAGTTTCTATACTACCGAATTCTACAATTGCAGCGTTATTAACTAAAACATCTAATTTGCTATAATGTTTGATTGTTGAGTCGATAATATTTTTCACATCATTCTCATTGGCTAAATCTCCCGTTATAATAAAAGGTTTTGGTTGTCCACATTGTTCGGCTACCTTGTCTAAATTGTGCTTATTACGCCCTGTTATCGATAGCAATGCACCAAGCTGAGCAAAGTGAATAGCTGTTTCAGCTCCAATTCCTGAACTGGCCCCTGTTATCAGAACAACTTTTCCCGCAAAAGACATCTAAAATAGATAAGATTTTTCAGACTAGATGTATCCAGTAGCGCACCGCTCATCAAGCAGCCATAAGTAAATTAAATCCGATTACATTAAATTGTTACATTACGTAATATAATCTAAGATACTAATATTACGAATTTAATGTAATTATTATGTAGCTAATGGAATTATATTTGCATTTGCTGTAACATATTTTAAATCATATTTGTCCTTGCATATAATAATTAATAATAATTATAGCTCAAGCAATTAAAAAAGTCATGTTGGTATCAAAATAGCTCTAATGATTGTCAATATTACTAGTTACTACGCAATCAATTGCGATTTATTTAATGTCGTTTTGACGTAATCTGTTCTGCTTGGAAGGTTTCGTCTTTTAATTATATGATATGTAATTATACAACAGAAAAGTTTAAGTTTTTTTTTGTTAGGATAAATTAAATTTGTATTTATTTCTTCTCAATACATTTCATTAAATCAAAAAGACACAAAATTATTGTAGGAATTCTATCGTATTTTAATAGTTGAATCGGTTTTTAATGGAGAATAAAAGAAATCAATAGAAAACGATGTTTTTCTCGGAAGCGATGAGTTATTATAAATATATTTTAAAAACACTTTAAATTACGATTAAAAAGTAAGATTGTTTTGAAATGATATACTGCTTCCTATCGTTATCTTTACTTTTTTAACGGAGTTATATAACAGCACATTTCTATACACATGTTGCAATAAGATATTGTGAAATCTGTGGACTAAGATTACGTTGCACATTTGTTATCGTCATTAATCGGATTTAATAATATAAGTAGTTATTAATTGCATTCAGAAGAGAAAACTGACGTTTTACATTTGGATTTTATCCGGCAAAATCGAATAAGCTGGATAATCGAATTTTATTCGGAAATTATTTTAACCTCAACAAAGAGATTGAAAAAGTAAAATCTAATTGTTTAAGTTATAATATCATACATTATATATGTTAATTAATATTTAAACATCAATAAAAAAATATGTAGTTTTTTTATATATTGGTCAAATGTACATATAAAAAAATATTTAAAAAATTTAAATTTTAAATATGTATCATAATTATTTCTAATTTCAAATTGAGAAAACGATTTTTTCATAATCCAGCCAGATAGTTGAACGATCCGGCCAGGAGCACCTATCATGAAATAAGTTGGAATGAATTCCAATCGGAATCCGAATGATTCCATAATATCGATTATGTAATTTTTTCCTTAGGGCGGAAACGTAAAAAATAAAATTTTTTTGTATGTATGTGTATGTATGTGCATACTTACATACATAAAAATACATAAAAAACACTTTTCACATTTCCTCCTTAGAGAAAAAGTTACATGATAGATACTCTGATGGCCGCACGGATTATAAAAAAATTGATCGGACATATAGAGGCTGAATATTATCGGATATTCGTTGCATCTTTAGAATAATATCATATTATTTAGATAATATTATAATTATATTTATATAAAAATGTTGATGAATATTTCATATAAAATCAATAATTTAAAATGTTTACCTAATGTTTCTTGTTTACTAGTTATATCATGTGTTCTAAGATAATAATATTATAAATTTAATGTTATTGGCTGCGTAAAGCATGATACGCACGACATATTATTATTTATTCTTGTTGCTCATCAAATAATAAATAAAGATAAAATTAGATATCATGCGCATCATACGTTTTACAGAACTCGCAATCATTATAGCTAATAATATTATATTTGTATTTGCAAATATATATACCGATTTAATTATGTAACAATAGTAAATTGTGTTTAACAAATGTATAAATACTTACCGTAGTACAATATTAAATGATTCACAAAATTTATAATTTTGAGCGAAAAAATATACAATATTGCGTTTGTAATGATGCGATCCGTATCAGTGCATGGTAAGCAAACACGCTATACCATAAATGCATAACTTAAATAGGCACTTTACATACTTATAAGACATGTTCCACTCCTTTATTTAAAAACAGTAAGACGCTCATTTAGTCATGATTAAATATTATAACAGATGACAAAACGTTTCCTGTTGTAAGATATATTTTGAATTGTCTATCATTAATGCGCATATAATTAATAATTATAGCTCAAGCAGAAGAAAACATGTTAACATCAAAGCAGTTCCCGATAAAAATTTTTTTATATAAGAATATACATATATAT